TTTTCATATATTTATATATTTTATATATAATATATATATGTATATATGAAAAAATATATAAAAAATACCCTGTGGGTATTCAAATGAAAGCTTTTAATGAGTGTAACATCAGAATGAGCTTATAATTTTGAAAATGTCAATATTTAAGAAAGTACGGGGTATTTTAACAAATATCTTGTGAACTATTTACATTTTTAAAGATATAAGCTCATCCTGTTGTCACATTCATCTAGACCTTTCATTTGAGTACCCACATGAATATTTCATATATTTTATATATTTATATATATACATCAGATATATGTATATATGAAAAATATATCAAAAATGCATGTGGGTACTCAAATGAAAGCTCTTGATGAGTGTATTATCAGGATGAGCTTATATCTTCAAAAATGTCAATAATTAAGAAAGTACAGTGCAATTAAACAAAAGTCATTATTTAATAAAGCAAAATTTCACGTAGTAATTGCAAGGTTGCTAGCTTAACTAATAGTAAATTTTTAATTTATTTCCCACAAAAAATATTAATTATCTATTGAATAAAATTACAGATGCTGCAATTTGCAAAAATCCTGAACAAATAAACTCAACACTGGAGTCATTGAGCCAGGGTGACATTAAAACTCTGAATCTGGACGTTTCAACCTTGCTGGCTTATGTGAGCAATATGACCAACGGGCACGCTAATTTCGATTACTTGGAGCCTCTGCTGAGCTTGCAGGCCGAGTGGGAACGACTTAGACCCGTAAAACCTGTTCTTGACAAAATATTCCAGGGGAAAAAATTGATCATTTGCGAAACTGCCTACAAAAATTTAATGGACATTATTAATATTATCGGCGGCGCTAATGAGACTGCGAGAACTAAAGAGTTGATAAAGCGCGTGACTATTGTTGATGATGCAACGGAAGGAAGGATTTTAGATTTGGCTCTTGGTGGAAAAATTAAAAACCGATCGAGGATCGTTTTTGCAACTGGTGAGATGCACAAGAGTATCACTGTATCTGCTAATGAAGGGTTTGTTCGCGCAGCTAAGATGCAGGTAATTTATTTTATTTATTTATTATTATTATAAAAAATCAAACGATTAATAAATTAATTTTTTAATCAAAAAAAATTAAATAATTACTAAAAATATTTAAATAAATTTGTTAACAATACTCAATAAAAAATTTTATTATTACAGGGCATTGAATGCACAGTAATTTTACACGAGCCAAGATCACTCTCAGAAATAAAAGAAAAATACGCCCAAGAGTTAAAGTCGTGACAAAAAGAGAAAATTAATAAAAATAAATAAATAAATTGGTAATGTTTAATTAAATAATTATTTCTTCACTATCATTAGGATTTGCCTTGAGAGTTTCTTCGAAATCTGAAAAATAATAATAATAATAATAATAATAATATAAGTAATAAATAATTTGAATATTAAAAAAATACCTTGAATGTATTTAGAAAATTTAGGAACCCGTTCCTTGGCCAGTCTAATAAACTCATCGCGTTTTTCTTCATTTCCTAGATAAGCGTAGCACTTGGCGCTATTCAGCAGAGCTTTTATGTTCGAGTCATTGACCTTGAGCGCCCACTCGCAGTCCTGGAGGGCTTTTTCGTACAACCCAAGCCGCATGTACGAGAGCGCGCGGTTGTTCCAGATAACAGCGCTGTCTTTGCGCTGTTCCAGCGCTTTTCCGTAGTAAGTTACAGCTTTTGCGAAATCTCCTACTCCAAAAGCTCCGTTTCCGATTCTCTTGAAGGTGTCAGCACGCTCGTTCCTAACTTTGCGGTCCTCGGATCGCTTTTTGGCGTCTGCTTCCATTGAAGCCATGAAAGCTGAAATTTTTTTTAAATAATGAAATTTAGAGTCATATCTTGTGAACTATTGACAATTTTAAAGATATAAGCTCATCTCGACATTACACTCATCGAGACCTTTCATTTGATTACCCACATCAATTTTTCATATATTTATATATTTTATATATATATATATATATATATATATATATATATATTGAAACTGAAAATAAATTAGGATTCCCTGTAATTTTTTCAAAAATTACAGAAAATTTTACTTATTTAAATAATGACTTTTCATAAATTGCACTGTACTTTCTTAACTATTGACATTTTTAAAGATATAAGCCCATCCCGATGTCACACTCATCAAGACCTTTCATTTGAGTATCGACATCAATTTTTCATATATTTTATATATTTATATATATCACAAATACCATATATATAAAATATATGAAAAATATCATGTGGGTACTTGAATGAAAGGTCTCGATGAGTGTAACATCAAAATGAGTTTATATCTTAAAAAATGTCAATAATTAAGAAATGACCTTGTATCTTATCAACCACTGACATTTTTAAAGATATAAGCTCATCCTGATGCTACCTTCATTGAGACCTTTCATTTGAGTACTCACATCAATTTTCATACATTTTATATATTTATATATATTATATATATATGTATATATGAAAAATATATCAAAAATGCATGTGGTTACTCAAATGAAAGCTCTTGATGAATGTAACATCAGGATGAGCTTATATGTTTAAAAACGTCAATAGTTAAGAAAGTACAGTGCAGTTTAACAAAACTCATTATTTTATACAGCAAAATTTTATTTATTTATATAATTAATTTATTCATACCTTTCGTCTCAGTTTTAACTTCCGTAGTATTTATCACCGTCCGATTGGTTTTGACTTTCACACCATCAGGATCGCATTTAAAATCTTTTTTTCCTTCCAATATTAAATCCGCTAAAACTTTCGCTTCTTCCTGTTCTTTTACATCAGCGGAACTTAATTTCTTAACAATATTTTCTGGAACAAAAAAAATTTTTAAAAATTAAATTTCATAATTACATATCCCGCTCAAATTTTATTTTTCAAAATCTACTTTATCGACCTTCGAAACTCAGAGTTGAGTCGGCCATTTTAACTAACTTATCCAAATTTTTCAATAAACAAAACTAGATAATTTTCTTACATTAATCTTTCTAATTAAAAAAAAAATAGAAGAGTATAATAATTTTGCCACAATAAAATTTAATAAAAATCCTCTAAAAAATTAAAATAAATCTTCTATGATATAAAATTAACAAACTAAATCTCGAAGTGAGAACAAAATGGCGGACACTTCAAAAATTAACTTCTAAATTTCTCCAAAAATTTTCTAATAAATTACAATAATAATAATAATAATAATAATAATAATAATAATAATAATAATAATAAAATTTTAAAAACTCACCAACTTCAGTAACCCTTTGCATAAAATTACAAAACTCTTCTTCAGTAACATTTCTATCAGCCGGCAAGTTTTCAACAGCTTTTCTCTTCTCTTCCACCGCAAACTCCATATCTTACTGAAACTTCTCTACCTAAAAATCTTCTACACAATCTACCAAAAGAATTTTATTAAATCAATCCTTACCTAGCAACTCAAATCAACAACATAACCAAGCACACAACACCAACACCTACATACAAAAAAAACAAAACAAAATCCTAACAAAAGTCTCAGAAGTCTCTACTAGTCCCTGGTTTCCAAGGAAACGTTTTAAAAATTTCTACCCCAGGTCCCAGAGAAATCTTATCTCTCTTCTGACCTTCATTAATATCCACTTCATCTTTGATAAATACTGAATTTCCCGTGTCATAACCTTGAACTTCCTGAGGCTGAAAAATAATCTCCACCTCATCAAGCATCTTGAGTTTTTTAAAATAATTACAATCATCAACCTTCTTGACCCCATTTTTAAACCCCAGCTGATTAGGCTTGCTGATGACCTTTTCTTCAGGAACAATTTTTTTTCTTTTGTTCTTCTTGTAACTATCAACCACAAAATCACTATCGCGAACAAGACTTCCAGTCCTTTGCCTCAAATTGTAACAATTTTTCTGGACCTGGGGCTTCTGGAGTTTAATCAGCGGAATTTTAGGCTTTCCATTTTCTTCCAAGCTCACCGGCTCTTTTTTGACCTCTATTTCTTCTTCTAAGTCAGGAAGACTATTTCCTAACCTGGTGGCGCTGTTGTCGCTGCTAGCGCTGAACTGGCCACTGGGTTGCAAGTCTTTTAGCCCGGCAATGTCCAGCACCCGGGCGACTTTCACCAAATTTTTCACGTTGCTCTCCGGGACTTCGATCTCCCCGTAGTACATGAAGTTCAGAACCGCCTTAAGGTCCTCCGGGTCGATGTCATGCAAGATTATCAGCGGGTGCGGGTGCTCGTTGTTCGTCAACAATCGCCGGAAGAACCCGCTTGTTGCTGATAAGATCATTTTATGACACTTGAAGGTCACGTTGTTCTTACATACCAGCGACAGGTCCACAAAGTGCTGCTTCTCGTAGCAGAAGTCCAATGTTGACGCCAAGTGCGATGAGAAGAAATCCCAACGTAAGTTTAACATCGCTTCTTCTTGCATTTTTTTTTTTTTTTTTTTTAGATTTATTATTATTTGTTAGTTTTTCTTTTCACTATCTGGAATTATATTTATTTATAAATTTTTTTTTATATTAATTTTTGTAAGATATATATTTAGTTATGTGATTTAATGTAGGTGTTACATTAACTGAGTCGCTTTTTAAAGTTATTTTTAAATGCGACACGTATTACTGGTAACGTGGCTGCGTTTATTGTAATTATAGAAATTACTTTTTTTTTATCAGTAATTGTTTATCACATGATAAATATAATGTAATATTTTTTTACAATGTTTTTTTAAATTAAAAAAAAATTTTTTTGCACTAAAAAAAAATTTTTTTTTTCTTAAAAATTTTTTTTTTCTTAAAAACTTTTTTTTTTTTTGACAAAAAAAATTTATTTTATATTAAAAAAAAAATTTGACACTAAAAAAAAATTTTTTTTTGACAAAAAAAATTAAAAAAAAAAA